CCAGAAGATGTTTGGCCTTGAGACGTTTCAGTTCGACGTGTCTTCCATCGTGGGTTTTAGACCCACGCTCGTTGGGAGGTGTTCCACGTCACCCGTCTCCTCTGATCACATGAGGCACATGCAGGACTTCTGAAAGGTGTCGCGGGCATCGATTTCAAAACATTTCAAAGATGTGTTTAACATTTAGTTGCTGTGACATTTAATCTGCTGTTTTAGGAATACCGGCTTTGCGTTCTTTTGGGGGGTTTGTTTGTTTTTACAGACATCACTCTGTTTTTATTGGTTGTACATGACGTCCCAGCTTTGTGCATCACAGAGTTATAACTCCACTGACATCTGATCTGTGTTTGTACCTCCAGACCTCCCACAGGAACGTGTCTGCATGGAGGAGGAGCTTCTCGCTGAGCAGAGGAGCTCCAGTCTGGACCAGGAGGACCCAGAGCCTCCACAGATGAAAGAGGAACAGGAGGGACTCTGCACCAGTCTGGACCAGGAGGACCCAGAGCCTCCACAGATGAAAGAGGAGCAGGAGGAGCAGTGCAGCAGTCAGGAGGGAGAGCAGCTGGGACTGAAGCAGGAGGCTGATACGTTCATAGTGACTACTGTTGATGAAGAAAGTGACCAGAGTGAAGCAGACTCCAACAGGGAGCAGCTCCTCTCTCACAGCTCTGCTGTGGCTCAGAGTCCAGATCAGGAAGGACGGAAGCATGTAGACTCAGAATCAAGCAGAAGTTCAGAGCTGAAGCCAAACAAGAGACGTGACAGAACCAGCAGCCACAGAGACACTGTGGACAGCTGTCCCATGTCGGAGGGCCGCGGTGACGGCGGGACAAAGACTTTAACGTGTGACTTTTGTGGAAAAGCCTTTAAGCATAAGTCCAATCTGAAGATACACCAGAGGATCCACACGGGCGAGAAGCCGTTCACTTGTGAGACATGCGGGAAAAGTTTCAGCCAAAGTAATCATTTGATCGTTCACATGAGAATCCACACGGCTGAGAAACCATACTCATGTAGCACCTGTGGTAAGCGATTTCCTGACCCCTCAGCGTTTAAACGGCACACGGCCATCCACACAGGTGAGAAGCTGTACACCTGCAGCACCTGTGAGGTGAGTTTCAGCTACAGCCAGTCCCTGAAAGTCCACATGAGAACGCACACGGGTGAGATGCCCTACCTTTGTAACATCTGTGGGAAAAGATTTAGTCACCTTTCAGCTTTCAAAGCACATACGGCAGCTCACACGGGGGAGAAGCTGCATTCTTGCTCCACGTGTGGGAAGAGTTTCAGCCAGAGTGGGGACCTGAAAGTCCACGTGAGGATCCACACGGGCGACAAGCCGTACGCTTGTGACACCTGCGGAAAAAGATTCTCTTCCACATCAGCACTGAAAAGGCACACGGCAACCCACACAGGAGTGAAGCTGTATTCTTGTGAAACATGCGGGAAGAGCTTCAGTCAGAGTGGTAATTTAAAAGTCCATCGGAGAATTCACGCAGCTGAGAAGCTGCTGTCCTGAAACATCTGTTGGAAAAGTAGTCTGGTAGCTTGAAACATGTTCAGTGCTCTTTAAAAGTTGAAGGTTTGGCCCTTGTGTTGCTTTTCAGTGTTAAATCATGGTCTGTTTAATCTGACTTCTGCAAAATAATGTCAGTTAATAAAAAACTAAAGTCAAACCCTTGATTCCAGAAGTGTTCACCTCCTTCTAGTCAGAATTTATTTCTGTTTGCTTCGGCTCATTGTCTCGATGGAAAACAAGTCTTCTCCATC